TTTGCTTTTCAGTGAAAGGCCAGCCACAGACAGCACTGCCAGGAGACTTGAGGTGCTCACACACCTGTGTACGAGGGTGGGGAACTGTTTCACTAAAGCGGCCTTGGAGACTCTGGGCCCTGGCTGGGAAACTAGTCACTGATAAAAGACCAACGGTATAAGTTCTGATCTCCCACCAAGTCATGGGCTACTGGCTTCTGGGTGATCTGACTCCCAACCACTGTCTGGGAGTTGACCTTTTCTTGGTATTTGACCACTGGCTTTTTCATTTCCCCTAGCTCTCTGTTCAACCTGAACATGCAATTCACCAGCAGTTTCTCCCTCCTGGTCCTAGAGGCCAACCTTGCATCTTCCAGAAAACAACCCCAACTAACCTCTGCTATCCATCTCATAGACTTCAGAACCTCCAGATATGGCCTCCCTCAGGGCCTTTTCAATCCCTCTAGCCAAAAATGTCTTTCATCTAAAAACGCCAGTTAAAATCTTATCAATTTTCCAAAGGCCAATTGAACTGCCACTTCTCCTCCCTGGAAGGTCTTTGAAGAAATGTTTTCTCAACCTCTCTGTAACCTCACAATTCTGTACTCTGTGGACCTTTCTGTACCAATTATTATACTCTGTCTTTTGGGTTTATTTTTATTGGCATATTTTTTCTGCCCTAAATGGAAGATACGAACAAGACAAGGAACACACGCCATCTTGCTCATCTTTGGATTCCTCCATAAATTCTTAAGTATAAATATTATATATTCAAATTGCTGAGTTAGCCTCATGTGTTCAGCTTCTGCTATCCCAAGCTAACATTACCACACAATGCTTCTCCATGGTTAAAAAATTAATAATTTTTTTTTTAAAAAAGAGGAATTTAGCTGAGTAAGAAATAAAGTCCTAAAACAACTTGTCAAGTAAAATATGAATTCCTCAAGATACCTCACAGTTTTTATAAACATGCTCAGTGCATTATGCTAAACACATAAACATCTTTAGAAAACAGCAAGTTAAAAAAGTCAAAAGGATTTCCTTGTCGCAGATATTCCAGGATATTTCAATATGTGCATCTCCTAGAAGAAGTATAGTACAGTACCTTCAACCATGTTCTCTTTACAGCAACTCACAGGATTCTTCTTCTGAGTTACAAATTTGGGAAATGCTGGAATAAATTATATCCAGTCTTTCATATTTGCGTCTATTCAGATTTGCTGAAAAGTTTGAGTTTATTAGTCACAGCTAGGAAAGGGAAGGGGGAAGACTTGGTTTTTTATCCTCAAAACCCAGTTTTTTAAAACAAGTACCATTTGTTAAGTTTTTCATCTGCTTGACCTGTTTGAAACACTAATAACAGATCCAAGTTCAACATTTCATCAAGTTTCTTCAATACAATTTTTAAAACCAACAGTGTCAGGCTATATTATAATTAGATCATTCAAATATTTAAATAGATTTTCATAATTTAAGCTCAATTGGAAATTTTTCAGTATTTCTTTAGCTGCATGATGTTACACAATTATTTTCTTACTAAATATTTGGCAGTTTTCACACACCGTGTATTGATTCAGAACTGGCATTTCCATTCCAAAAGCAAATAGACACTCAATCATGTGAAATAAATCCAGATTATGAATTTGATTATTTTGTTTAATGTCACTCATGACTGAGGATAGTTTCAAACACTATTTGGAGAGGATAACTGAGTGTGGCTATTTGTTTGTAAACTGTGTTTTGACAATAGATGTCAGTGACTTTCAGGGGGAAACAATTATAAAAAGAACACTGCGAGTCCCCTGCTCTGTTAATGTGTACCAGTGCTATCAATGGCACCTGCAGATTTTCAACCAATCTAGTGTTTAGAGTTCAGTTTTTATCACAAAATCCCTATGAATAAAACAAAACTAGCTATTTTAGAAAAATTAAAAGAAAAACTATGTTAAATGCTAGGGTTTTTACTGATTCATTCAACAACAAAAACTAACAGCGTCTACCATGTGCCAGGCAATGTTCTAGCTGCTGAGGATACTGCAGTAAACAAAAGCCAATATAGATGACTGTCCTCATGAAGCATACATGAAATAAATAAATCATCAAGCATACGAGCCCCGCAAAGAAAAATAAAGTAATTAAGGGAGGGATGGGGTGCTGGGAGAGAGGGGCAATCAGTGATCATTTTAAATTTGGAGTTCAGGGCCTCAATGCAAAGGAGACATTATAGTAAGAACTTGGGGGAGGTAAGGTATAAGCCACGTTACTCTCCAGGTAAGAGCAATCCAGGCAAAAAGAAGAACAAGTACAAAGGTCCCTGAAGAAGGCTCCTGCTCCTTATTACTTCTATATTTAATAGAATAATAAAAAGTAGTTTCCCTATTTTGTGATCTATCAGGTTACAACTTTCTATTTGGGGGAGAAGAAAGAAGCTGGTATAAGATTTTAGCCAACCCTCTCATCTACTTTATGTCTCTATGGCCCACAGGCCAAATCTGGTCCATTATCTGTGTTTATAAATCAAGTTTTATTGAAACACAGCCTAATTCACTTGTTTACATATTATCTGTAGCTGCTTTTCATGCTACAACTGAATTGCTGATCTCCAACAGAGATCATATGGCTTAACGATTAAAATATTATCTGGGGCCGGCCCCGTGGCTTAGCGGTTAAGTGCGTGCGCTCCGCTGCTGGCGGCCCGGGTTCGGATCCCGGGCACGCACCGACGCACCGCTTCTCCGGCCATGCTGAGGCCGCGTCCCACATACAGCAACTAGAAGGATGTGCAACTATGACATACAACTATCTACTGGGCCTTTGGGGGGAAAATAAAAAAAAAAAAAAAAAAAAAATATATTATCTGATCCTTTATAGAAAAAGTTTGCTGATATCTCCTCTATAGAATTCAGGATGCCACCTAAATCAGTCCTACCTGCACCAGAGAGACTTGTGACCATGAGTTAAAGCTCAGTAACCTCACATTAGCAATGGGTAGGTACCACTCTGTCTAACTAAGGAGCATCTTAAACACCCTCACAATAGCCTACAGAGTCTAATTAGGAAAAGGAAAAACTCGCATTCTACTTCTGGTCTAATAAATACATGCTTTTTGGCCAGTTACCCGTATTTCTCTCAAGTCATACCAATACAATCATGTAGAAGAGTTTTTTAAATTTCTTGGTCATACAACGAGCTCTTTTGCATACTTTCCTATCTCCATCCATCCTGGTATCCAGGAGAAAAATTTCTAAGCCAGAAAACTCAATTATTTCTCGTACACTGGAAAAATATAAATCTTGGAAACTTACAGCATCTAACCTTAGGCAGGTTCAGAAAAGAAAGGCTGGAAAGTCTGAGTTCTGATAAAAACACAATGGAAATGTTCTAAGTGTCCCACCTTCACCAATAATGGGAGGCTTTCTCAGTGTGCCTACAGCAAACATATCAACCCTGTAAAGAGTGAGGTACCACCAGAGATCACGCAGGAAACCACAGCTGCTGGGGGCTCTGTCTGCTAAATCTTTAGGTACTCTGAAAGAGCACTAGGATCTCCCTAAACTTTAATTTTACAGAAATGAAACATCTGAGAATATTCAAGCTCACTGTTTCATTCCCCCAGTGTGTATATTTGAGCGCTGACTCATACCTTTGCTACTGGACTATGCATCTACCAATAATACTAATGACTGATAAAGAGTAGACACAGCTGACTACTTTGTCATCCTAATGTAACCAGAAAGGAGTGAGACGGGCCGGCCCAGTGGCTTAGTGGTTAAGTGCGCGTGCTCCGCTGCTGGCGGCCCGGGTTCGGATCCCGGGCGCACACTGATGCACCGCTTCTCTGGCCATGCTGAGGCCGCGTCCCACATACAGCAACTA